TAAATAGAATAGTTCAAAATAACTCAAATACTTAAAATAGCTAAAAATTTAATTGTTCCCGAACCTCCGGGAAACCCAACATAAGTAAAACTATTCAAAATAGTTAAATTATTTAAAACCATTAGAAATTAGTAGTTAAAAGAATTAAGATTAGTAATTAAAAGAATTAACATAATTAGAAATTTAAATATTTCAAAACCTCCGGGAAACCTAAAATAAAGAAAAATAATTCAATTCTTAATTATTTCCAAACCTCCGGTAAACCCAAAATAACTAAACTATTTAAAATAGTTAGAGTTTTGTTTATTTCCAAACCTCTGGTAAACAATGGTAAACACAACATAATTGCACCTGCTGCGAAATCTTGACCAATACAAAGTGTTGCACTTGCCACGAAATGTACACTTTGAGGTTCACAGAGTGCTTCGCCTGCCACGAAACAAAGCTACGGTTCACTGCACCCGTCACGAAATCAGAGCGCCTCGAAGACCACCAACCATGTCCAAAGTGCTGCGCCTGCCACGAAATCTGCAGAACATGTACTCTGTGACGTGTGAAAAGGCATGACGTAGCTGAATATGTACGGCTAGGAATCCAACGCTGTGGTGGTCGCAACACTGAATACACGCGGTGGAAGATGGAGTATCGCAGAAACTGTGCGTTTTGCATCTGTTGAGCATGGCGTGTAGAGCTTGACTTGCGGCGCAGGAAGTCACTGCACAGCTTAACACGGAGCTAGGAAACATGTTGTAAGGCTGTGGTAGCTGAGCATTGAGGAGTATACGCGCAAGAGCAACCTTCCAGACATGATAGTGCGCAAAGGGTCTTTGCTCCATCCTGTATCTCAGGACTACGCACCTACGAGAATATGATTCTGGGCCTGACCCTCAGCGTACTCTGCTTGCAACCTGTCCACAGAGGTACCAACACCTTGCATTGCTTGCAACAATCCATGCTTGTTCCATAGATTCTGGCTCAAGAGTACACTCACAAATTGGAGCAGTTGACGCAGCAGCAGATTTTCCGAAATCTTTACGGCAACTTGGAGAAACATGCATGATCAGAGCTTCTGTACGTATCTTGCGAACGAGGTATGCCCTTGATCTTTGATCCTATCGGACCAAAGCAAGACGACACAGGGAACGTCGGCAGAGCTTTGCTCTTGCTGTGGGGCTGGCAGTGTCTCCTGCTCAGTGAAGATAAGTAGATAAAAGTTCAGAAGTTCTGCCAACTCTCATGTGCTTCGAGGTCGTAAGCGGTCTGGCGATTTTGAAGTGCTGTCAGGCCTAGGGATGGTTGCGGTACTGTATTATCGTTACTTTGCCTGCTCTCGATAAGACACCCGCGCCGTCTCACTGCAATCTGTTAGGCCCTGTCACAGATCTTGTCAGCGATGAACCTCACTCAGGCCTAGCCATCTCCGAATCATTCTATTTGACCCTTGTTCGTTTGACCCTCATTCGATTTCTTTGCAGGAGCTCTTCACTCCTTCTGGGCGCGAGGAGACCTGGAAAACTTGAATGGCTCCTGGTGTCAGTGGGTCGCACATAGGATGAGCTTGGCAATGACGAATAACGCAATGATAAACAATGTATACATTCCGATGCTAAGGTGACACTTTCATTGTGCCAATTCTTCACCGCTTGTGTAGTGCTGCAGACCAAAGCTCTCGCATTCATTGCCACTTGAACTACAGTATGAAAATTGCATTTACAATACATTTTTCAACAAGAGTCATGTGTGCGAGTTATCTGCAAGGCGACTACTTCATGAAGGAGATTGTCAACCGGTTGACTCACGTATGTGGACGAACTTGCGCAGATTGGTGGCGCTGTTTCTCGCCATATTAAGCCTTACCTGTTTTATTCAAGAAGTAGAAACTTGAGTATCCGGGATCAAGCACTTGAGTGATCACTGCAAGGGATGAATTGCGGCTTTGGAGTGAAGCATGTTCGACAAAGCCAATGCAAAGTGGTGAAACAAAAAGAATGTGATAAGCTGTGGTTGGACTCCTCCTGGTGTGGCTCGCTTGCATCCAATGGTGCATGTCATTGGGTTCACACTGTTAGTACAAAACATTGAAGCAACTGAGCAATTCGACCTAGGCGATGCATTGGTTTGGAAGATTACTGGCCGGATTCGCAGCACGGCTGATCTTCCTTCAGCGGAATACACTCCGAACTGGAAGCAGCTCCCACGCAAGCGATGGTATCGTCGGTTCAGGCTGGGTAAGTATTGGTATGAAACGAAGCACGAAAGCGCGAACAGACAATGATTCCAGGGGACCTGCTCCGAGACTACTAGCAGCCTCGTGGCCAGAGGCAGGACGGATTCTTTTTCCTGATTGCGGATTAGTCTTATCATTACGCGTGTTAGGAGCAAACCCAAGTGAAGAACTACAGTACCCCGCATGTGGCCTCAGACCTGTCTTTATGACTGGCGCTGTGTGTCTGTCTGGTGATGATGGAGAGCTAAGGAAGGAGGTGGCAGAAGACCACAAGACAGGCCGGAATTTAGAATATAGTGCAGCAACGTCCTTTTTGAAGCGGCGCCCAGACGTTGCAAAGGCTTAGATGAATGGTGTGACATGGTGGGAGATGTGATTCCGCTCAATGATCTGTGGTGTGTCCTGCTTGGCATAGAGATATATTGGACAACTACCCATGTATCATCTGATGAGAAGCTCTATTTAGCTAAGGCATTGCGGCGTTACAGAAAAACACACGGATCACTGTGCTTAGGTGGGTACTTTGTTGATGCCATCGTGGCCCGACTGATGGAAGAGAAGGACGCTGGATTGGGTTTTTGCCACTTGATTGCAGCAGACATCTCTTTACTAGAACACACTCATAGAAGACTGAGGCTTATCCAAGAGGCAAAGACGTCGTTGGCGTGAAGAAAGCATTAGACGGTGGCGGGCCAGCAAAATGCGCTGGATGGAAGCCAGAAGGGATGAAGAAGAAAGCGAGATTCTGGAGCAATACGTTGCGATTGCCAGAGAAGAAGCCAGAAGTATGATTGAGAATTCAAGTCTCTCTCTTGCATTGGTGTGAGGTCAACATAGAGTCCGCATGGTCTCTATTTCTAAACCTACATTTGTATACCTTCATTGCTGTGAGGCTCTTCGGGCTTTTTGCGCCCCACTTCAGAAATCCGTCCGAAGACAACCATCTCTCGCTTTGAGTGTCTCGGCTGATGAGATCTGTGAATAGTCACTGAACTATGCTAGCGTTCTTCTCCCTTGCCTGAGGACAAAACAATTCCATCACGTATGCCTTGTTGATGTTCTCCGATGCCATGGATGGAAAGTTCCGTACGAAGAACATGGACCATTTTTCGCAGTAACAGACGGGAACCGCTTCCTGAACAAGTGGTCGCCCTTAACTCAGTTCAACATGATGTCACATCTTTTTCTGCTGCGTGTCAACACAGAAACTCAATGCTATGACCCATGCATCTTTCAGGAAGAAAGTGGTGTACATCGACCCCCAGTCACTCACCCACGAGGCCAAGAATGCTAAGTGCATTCTCTTCCAAGACCAGCACTTTGTGGCTTTGCGATTCTTGGATGGGCAATGGGAAATCAATTTTGAACGGTATACGCATACCTGGGAAAAAGCTGATCTGTACCGTGGCCTTCAGCGTGGACATCCCTACTGTCAAGATGAGAAGGGCGTGTGGATTATCGATGTGGAAGAGGTCGATGCTGCCTATTACATTGCTTCCCAAGAAGATGTGTGCCACAACAGCAGAGGAAAAGATGAGTGCGGTGGCTCTATCTCTAACCACTCTGGCATGAAACGAAAGTGCGTCGAAGAGGATGAAGAAGAAGCGCAATTCCGCTCAACAAACATTCGGCACAATCGTCAAGTTGCTCTGAGATTGACATCTCTGCGAAAGCAGGGGGTGTTTGTGTGCCAAACTGTTGGAATGCAGCAACAGTCTCTGAAGTTCAAGACATTGGTCGGTACTGATCTAGAACAACTTCTTCCCCAAATTCTGATCCGAGGATCTGTCAACAGAAGCTTAATGCCTTTGAAGCCAAACGTCTGGCCTTCCAGTGTGCCGGTTCCACTGGATCATCTGAGCCAGTTACACAGGCACCCCAGAGATGAACGATTGACTTTCGACGCAGCAACTCACACCTATTTCTGGGACGGATCGAAGGTTCACATTTCGTGCACTGGGCTCATACATCGCTTCAGTCATGACTTTTGCGCAGACAAAGCAATTGAAGCAATGAGACGGTCCAACAACTGGCCACGGCCACAGTACATGAGGGGCTCCGTATCCCAGAAACTTATACTTGACCTCAGCAAACTTCCTTACGCGCATTTGTTTCTAGATCTCCTGGATGGACCTGGCAGATGCCAAACAAAGTTGTGCCAAGCGATTCAGAAGCTGATGGTTCACCACCCTGAAGACAGTAACTTGCTTTTGTCTCTTGCAATGAGCGACGAAGAAATTAAAGAGCAGTGGAAACAAACTGCTGAGATTGCATCATCACAGGGCACCTGGATGCACGCCAGCTTTGAGTGCTTGCTCAATGGTGGCTACATAGAGACAGAAGATCGTGAAGACATGTAGCATGTTCTGTTTTGGAAATTTGCTCGGACTTTGCTTTCTGCTGGCGCAAAGATCTTTCGGACAGAGTGGACGATCTACGCAAGCGAGGAGGACCTTGCTGGCTCCATCGACTTGGCAGCTAGAATGCCGGTCCCTTGGGTGATGCTTTCAGCCAACCCTTTGCAGTTCAGACACAGTTTCGTTTTACTTTTCTCACTTCTTTACATCTTTTGTGTTATTCCTTGCGCACGTCCAAGTGTAGACAGTGTTGACATTGTTTTTGTTTTGCCTGTCTGTGTGAGGACAACGCTCTGTATCTGTTCGACTGGAAGCGAACAAAGAATCTTCAGTTCAAATCCAACTCCTTTGGCAAGTCAATGCTGCCTCCATTGGCTCATGTGCCCGATGCAACACTATGGCACTACAGACTACAGCTCAATCTATATGCCTCCATCATCGAGAAATACTACAATGAGACTGTGGGTGCAATGTTTGTGGTTGGCTGTCACCCCGATAATGGCATGCGCCCGTTCGTGGACGATGTTCCCCGCATGCGCGCTGAAGCTGGTCTTTTTTTGAGAGCATCGCAAACAGATCGCCTTGGGGGGAGCAGTCCTGCACAGTGGACATTACAACAGAAGCATGTCTTTCCAAGGCCTTCACCTATTGATCCAGAAATGCAAGCCAGGATTTGGGCTCAGCTGAAGCAATTCCGTACGGAAGTAGAGCCTTCGTTTCCTACACTTGCAAAGTTTCCACATCTCTTTTGGATTCTACCAGTTCCTTTTGATCTGCAGCAGCCACGTGCGAATTGGATTGTTCAGATGAGGGCATATGGTTGTTTCCTGTCCATGATTCACAACGGTCAGTCACAACAGTTAGAGCTTGCCCTGATGGCGTACTACAGTCCAGAAATTGAGAGGAACTTTGGACTGCTAGAGCTGGTTTCAACTCAAAAGGCTTCTGTCAGCAGACGTGACAGGCTGAAGAGGTTGATGGCTGCTTGGATGTGCTTGCACGTGCTGTCTGTACCAGTCCCAGGAAGTCATATCTTGCCACTCGCATCATCTACACCTCAATCCCGCTATTTGACAATGCTGGCAGTTGTTCCAAATGCGCCGCTCACCTCGAAAAAGAATAAGAATAAAAAACCCTGTATGCAAGGAGGGTATGATGCACTTGGCGGTGGCCAGTTCGATTCAGATGGATGCTCGTCTTCAAGAACTCTGTGTCTCATTTTCTTTCAGTTGTTAAAAAAGGTTAAGCTATTCTTGAAAGGTGTTTCTTTGCAGTTATTGTTTTGTCTGCTTCATACCTTAAGGAGAGAGCGGCATGCCTGCAATTGGTTGCGCTGATGACTCAGTAGACGTGGCCAGCCAGCGAAGCGGTCCACGCACTGCTGCGAAATCGAAAGCAGGTCCAAGCCAGAGAGTAGAAGACAGTGCCATGAGAATTGTCAAGGAAGAGGACAAAGAAGCTGACGACATTCCTCTAGAAGATGCTACTTTTGAGAGGCTGAAGCAAAGACGTCACATGAGGGGAGCCAACACGTCAGATGTAGATTTCGCGCACCTGTTCAACTCCTTGGCAAAAATGAACGACTGCTTCCAGCAAGAACCTGCAGAGGAGATCGATACGTCAGACACCATCTTGCGCAAGGTTCGGCTATGGCAAGATTGTGTGCGCAAGACATTTGCGGATGGCTCTGACTACTTCATTCGCCTCGGGGTGGGTGTCTTGGCATTTGGGCGGGCCAGACAAGCAGACATCTTTCTGCGAGAGCACGCGTTGCTGTACTGGGTCGCCGAAGGCCACTCCACCCTGCGTTTCCACACAGGCGACTGCTACATGAAAACCCCAAGCGGTGCATTCCAACAGCACAGGGGCATACCCCCTGACCATGATCGCGTGCAAACTTTTCTTCTGCATGTGGAGGGCATTTTTCGGAAAATGCCCGTGCGAACACACCGGACTACTGCAGGACTGCTAGGCGCAATGAAAAACATTCTCCTTGACTATGACAACCAGGAGAATCAATTCTTGGCTGCGTGCGTGAATGCTTGCTTAACTTTTGAAGGGCAGCAGCGCAAAGAAAAGAATAGAGAAGAACACGCAGATGAAGAGCAAGAGGGTCCGGGGCAACAAGGTCCACAAGGACCATGGAATGCAGCCACTGCGAAAACCATCATGGCAGTGAAAAAGCAGTTGTCATATGAGCTGTGCCAAGATAAGCTCCTACATTTTATGTCGGAATGGTGTGACACACCCAAGGAAGTGGAAGCTTCGTGTTGCTACGAAGACTGCGCGGTGAAATACGATGATGAGCTCCTACCTGCTCGACAAATTCAGCGTGAGCAGCTTGTAAACTGCTATTTGAGAATCCCTCATTCCATCAAGCAAACAGTGCCTGCCGACATTGTGGAAAGGCTTCGCAAGTTCTATTCACAGACGTTCTGGGGGAATATTGAAGCCTTCAAATGTGGACAGGCAGCGCAAGCCTTGGCCAAACGAGGTCTCAACGTTGTTCGGCTCTTTATTGGACTATCTAGTGGTGGGGTTGGACAATCTCTCTACTCCACTCATCTTCAAGCAATGTATGCTCACAATTTTGCTTTCTTTGATCCTGGCGTTTGGTTCCACGAAGATGAAATGAGGAAGCAAGTGGAACAATTGAATGGACGTTGCATTCTGACTGGGCAGGAGAGTCCGTCTGGCACTGGTCGCGCCTGGGCTAGAGTGTGGGTTTGTAATCTACTTGTTCTAGTTCTTCTGTTTGATGTGGCCATCGTTTGCTTAACTGAAACCGTTACTTTGTACACCCAAGGCAAGCTGAGAGAAGACCTATTCAAGAAATTCGTCAGTGGCGACGGCATCGCAGGACGAAAGCCCTATGGGTTCAGCACCAAGATGATTCACTGTGTGGGCTGGAAACGCCTAGAGGCAAATCGTACGTTCACTTTTGAAGATGTGGGCAAGAGAAATTTTAACGCAATTTTGAGAAGAGCGCTGGTTTGGAGAGCCAGAGCAAGGTTTGAAGATCCACAGGTTATCGCGTCCGCATATGCAGATATCCACAAGGACGGTGTCTTTCCGAAAGACCCAGATTTAGCGAGCTTCCTCACATCTTCGGCTGCTGTCGCTGCAGCGCTACAAATTCAGCATGCATTCGAGGCAGAGTACAGCAAGCAAGCTTGCATTGACATGATCGAGAACTATGTCACTTGGGGTGGAGATGGTGGCTTGACAGAGCAAACAATGAGGGAAGCGTGCAGGCTCCCGCCCAGAGATATCCGTGCTGCCAACACAAAGTTTTCTGCAGTCATCCACCTAGATGAAGTAGAGGATGATGAAGAAAAGGAACAAAAAGCTCAATGGTGCGCTGCACGAGAAGCTGTCATGGATGTGGCTTTCAGCAAAAAGAAAATTTTCTTCCCGGAAGCCTTGTTGACAAGCTTGAAAGCCAAGGGTGGCCCAAATGTTTCGAGAGAAGGCTTGCTTGACGGACTGCTGAACATGAAGTACTTGCAGAGGTTGCCTGGATCAAAGAAGGCGGACACCCGCTACATTCCTGTCTTGACTGCTGAGGTCTCTTTGTGTGACATTTTGCATCACCAGGATCGGATTTGTGAGCTTGAGTTGTCTGAAATGTATAACATCGACAAGTTCAGCAACTACCTCACCAAGCATCCTCACAGAGCAGCTAATTCAAAGATTTTGGCAGATGTCCTTCAAGCTTCTTCAGAAAGCAGAAGACCTAGAGCAGGCAGACCTTCACCAGAGGAGGTCAAGCAGAAGGAAGACATGCAAGCTCGCAGTCGCAAATTGCGGAGTGGTGAGACTCACGGAGAGGAGTTGCTAGAGGCACTAACAGAGCCAATCCAGAAGAAACGCAGGTTCTCGCAGAAAAAGCCTGAAGTCAAGACAGAAAATTCTGAAGATCACATTCTCATCCGCAAGGTGAACTACCAATACCCTGGCCCTTGCACTATCCGAACTCGCAAACAAGTGGTAGGTATCGGAGCTCAAAAACTCAGCAGAAGAGCACAGGTGATGCTTTTGGATCAGACACATGACCTGGACATCGAGAATTGTCTTTTCACTTTGCTTCCCCAACTGCTGGAGAAATTGAAATTGGATCCACCAATGCCACCGGACGCACTAGCAGCCTTTGCCCAGTGCAGGTCACAAAGGACTAAAGTTTGCGCAGATGTCTTGCAATTGCCCCTGCACGTGGGCAAAGAGCTGCTGGTATCTATTCTGTACGGCGGACATGTATCGGGCAAATTGGTGCGACATGACTTTGTGCAATCTTTGCAGCGAGCATCTATGTATTGCAAATGGGCTGCTGCTTCCAGCTTACCTGAGGAGTTTGCATCCTTCGTGGAGGACACTACAAAGAAAAACCCTGACAGCTCTGTTCTAGCTTATCTCTACATGGCCGCTGAAGACTACGTTCTGTCTCACTGGTGCGATCATCTTTTGACCTTTTCACCCACCCACTTGTCACTACACTTTGATGGTGTCCGCATATCACCTCTGCAGGGGATCTCCATTGAAGAAGTTTGCAAGCAAAGTGCATCCTACATTCTGGACAAGACTGGCTTCAAGGTCACAATCCGAGAGAAGAGACATGAGACTGTGAATGCCTTGATCAAGAAAGCTGCTGCGTGTGCGAAGAGGGCTCCCTTTCCCACAGATCATGTCTACTGTGTGCCAGGGAATTGTATTCCCCACGCTTTGGCCAGTTTGGGTGCCATTACGGAAGAGAAGGTGTCACTGTTGACAGAAGCATGCCCAGACAATGCATATATGCAACAGCGTGGATGTCGCACATATCTGCAATGTTCCAATATGTTCCACTGTTCCTTCTCGCCCGTCTTGTGCACTCAGTCTTTTGATTTTCGAGGAAACTTCCTCTTACATTCCGAAAATGGTGGCAGCCCACATTGCGTTGCTGTGAAGCAGGACGAGGAAGACAAGCTGATTGTTTTTGACACAGATGGTGTCTTCCACTTAGCAGTAGCTGACTTCGAGACAGCGTTGTTAGGTGGTGTGGATGCTGCCACGTGTGTTATTTTCAAACTTCAGGACGGCAAAAAGGATACAGATGTGGGTATGTCCGATTTTGAGAACCTCCTGGACTTAGCAGCAGGGAGTTCTGAATCAAATGAAGAATGCACTACAGACGATGCTCAGGACACAGCATTACTGCCAGAGGTGTCCGAAAAGAAGGGAAGCTTTGATTGGCTAGATGACACTGGACGTGTGATCACCGACCAGGTGTTGTTGAGTGATTTGCAAACGGAGGCGCAAAAGTTTATGGAAGCTGCCAAGGCTGGACAATTCCGAGCCGAACGCGGTGCTTTTCAATGCCCTGCGTGCCCCTTCCGGAAGTTCGACCGCTGCAAGCGTCTGGCTGTCCATCTTTCTCGGTATCATACAGCAAAGCGTCAGTTCTGTTGTTCCGGCACAAAGCAGATCAAAATCATTCTTGCTCTCCATGACTCAGACATGATTGCTGAAAAAAGGCAAGGGAACTACCTGAAGCGAAGCGCCACGCTGCTAAGAAGATCTATCAAGCCAATGCTTTCGCCGCAGAACAACGCCGTCGACAAGGAAATTCGGTTTCTATTGGACGCGTCAGGTCCAAGGGTAGTGCATCGGCAAGCGCTTCGCAGCGCGCGTTGAGTTGGCAATATGTACTACACACATTCCTTCGCTGAGCGGATCTTCCAAGAAATGCTCTTGAACCATGCCAAGGCGCGGGGAGATGAAAAAGGTTCAATGGTCGCACAGCATGTGCTATGAAGGTGAAAAACCCTTGTAGTGACTGCTCTAAGCACCCCTCAGGTGTCTGCCTTGGTACCTCGTTTTTTGCTTGACTCAGCAAAAGCTGGCAACAGCCTGGCGTCAATGCTGCCCACCCACACTGCGTGTTGGTGGCCTGTGGTTGAGGACGTATTCGCATCAGCAGCTTGCAAAAAACTCCGTCATCATCTCCTGGACCAAGCTGTTGCGCATGAGGAGTGCTCGTACCTGTCCATTGATGGAACATTCAAGGTATGCTTGCCATTGATGGGGCAGGGTCGGTTTTCAGACCCAAGAGCCTTACGCGACCAGCATCCTTTTCCGGCAAGTGACAGCTACACCCGTGTTCTCTCAGTGCGGGGAAGAAGCGGTGCAGTGCTTTGCCTGGAGCCATCTTGTGGAGAAGGCGCAGACCACATCAAAGCGTGTCTTCAAAAAAGCATTTCAGCGCCTGGACTTTTGCAAGTGAAACATATTGCAAGCGACAATCCTTCACCGAAGCTTTTTTTCTGAGCTCAAATCGATCTGCGCAAACCTCAAGGCCTTGTCTTTAGACCCAACACATACGGCTATGCACTATGAGCAGGGGCTGGGAGGAAGAAAGTCTGCAGGTTCGAGCCTACTTCGGTCATTCATGGTGAAGTTCACCAACCACGACGAAGCAGTGACCCAAAACATTTGGGGACCATTCTTTGAAGGACAAGCTTGCGTGGCCCTATCTCGTGAGGAGCAAATGTTGCGACAACACATTCTGGACAGCTCCTTGGCAGTTGTCCGTTCCAAGCGGATACTGGCTTCTTGTGAAGAATTGAAGGTCTGGCCTACACGGATTCAGTTTGTGGAGGCACTGGCTGCACTTTCCTGTCTTCACAGAACCGACATGGGCCGGAAGATCGAAGGGACTAAAACTACGCTGGCGAAGCTCCTACACAATGTCACAAGTGCAGAGCAGCTGGAGTGGCTCTTCAACAACTTGAGGTACAGGCAATTCTTACCACATCGAGTTCGTCTGCTGCTGCCTTCAGGCACTACTGCCAACGAAGCACTCCATGCAGAAATCAACTCATGGTATCGACAGACTCAGCAGATGCACCGCAGCACATTGGTGCAAAAGCTGCAAATCCAGCAGCTGGGCAAACTATTGGCCCACAACATTGCTTTGCACAGCCCCACAGCAAAGCAGATGCCAAGCTCTCATGTCCTCTCACAGCGAGTTGGAAATCCTCTATGGTCAGCCAAAACCTGGCAGTCGGACATGGCGCAACAAGCATCAACCTTGCCATTGAAAGCTCGCAGAAAAAACAGAGAAGGAGCTGGTGGCAGAAGCAGCTAAAAAGCGTCCAGCAGCAGCTCCAAGGCCGAAGGCGCGTGCGAAGCGCACGCCATTTACTTTGGAGCGCAAACCCGGTCTCCTAAGGAGCGGGGTGCGCAAAAGAAACTCGATGTGACAGGTGAAAAAGAATTGCGTAAACACTGCTTGCTGTGCTTGTGCAAACACAAACAACACTATCTTTGGACATTGGCACGCTGGATTAGACTTAACCCTTCTACACTCTGCGCGCTCAATACACAAGCAATTAGTATGTACTCTCAGCGATCAATATGTTGCTTTCTCCCGGCCCTACCTGCTTGCTTGCCTGGTATAGAGGGAACCTAATCTCTATGATTTGCTGGATAGTTTCTTGGCATCGCGCTCCGCATCTGGTTCTCCAGTTTCAAGTCCAGTTATGGAACTGGAGCAACAGCCTTGCTATTTAACGTCTGCGAAGTATTATTGTGCTCTTTTGCTGACAGGAAAAATGGGCGGGTGCTGGATGTTGCACTTAGAACCAAAGCAAATGTTGTCTTGAGAGCTCCCACGACTCATTGTACCTATTTTCCCATGCGGGGGGGGCGCCCCCCCCCCCCCTTTCAACTCCACCCTAGCGCGCCTCGGGGTCAACCGTTCGAAAACACTGTAAATATCAGTGTTTTCAGCTCTTCCAGTCCTCAGCAGTGACCAAAAATCATGGAATTTACAGCGTTTTTTGTGGCTGTCCGGCAAAAAACACCGCAAAAACCGATGGTTTTTGATGCGCCTCGGTTAGAAAAATGACTAAAAAAAGACCAAAAGCCAGGAAAGATTTTGTCAGAAAGGGTTTTTGAGGTTTTTGGAGGCTTCAAAATTGCACAAAACTATGGTATTTACAGGGTTTTGTGCACCTTCCCGGCAGAAAACGCCGGTATTTACACGGTTTTCTGCGCTTTTCCAGCGCTCAACCGTGGTGCGCCTTTGGATCGACGGCTACAAAATACTGTAAATACCAGTGTTTTCAGCTCCTCCTGTCTTCAAGCGTGGCCTTAGACCTTGCCGCGGCTGTGGATCGACGGCAACGAAACCTCGTAAATACCAGTGTTTTTGAGCACGTCCTGTTTGCAAGCATGGCCTGCGGCCACGCAATTTAAAGGGTCGCCGCACGTCACTATGTAAATCCGAAGTTGCATTTGAGAAATATGTGACTCCTTTTGAAGGCACGTCAACCTGTATTGAAACCGCTAGACCGCTACAGCTTCTGGAGGTTTTGTCAAGCGTTTGTGCATTAGTTGTTCTTTCATCACGCTCACTCACTTCTCTTCAAACAAGTGGGGGGCCTCTCACCTCCTCCCGGATTACGCCTGATTCCCTGCTACCTTTCGTTCACCCCCCTCCTCTCTCAAGTACAGTCAAACCGACTGTGATGTTTGGCTCAAGGAGCGGGATCTAAAAAGGGGACGCTTGCGCTTCCGTGTTTTCACACAGATCCACGAGCTGTGGCGCGTGGGCACCCGCTGGGCAATGGTCGTGGCAGACGTGGCACTTGGTGAGCCTGGATTGCAGATTTGGTGGGCAGACGATAGCAGGCGAAGTGGAGCAGATTCGTGAGGCGCAGTCCGAGTGCCTGGAGTCTTGGACAAGCTGGGGCGCGGGTGGGGAGGATGCTCAACATGGAGAAGTCAAACCGAGAAAAAGTGGAGCAGAGCAATAGGGACAAAAGCAGCCCACTGATGATGAAGAAAAATGTACATCACTGCATGTCGACGACAGCTTCAGAATGAGACTGCAGGGCTTTGTGAAGACAAGAAGGAAGACAAAAGAAAAGGAAGAGACACAAGACGGACACAATGGCCAACAAGAAGGGAGACAAGAAGGGAGACAAAAGAAACGGGAGTCCCACACGTTGTGCAAGAAAAGAGGACGAAAAGACACTGGACACAAGTGAAGCACAAATATGCACTTGGCCACACGCAGTCAGCGGCGTCCCTCGTTGCTTGCCTGCTCATCCAGCAATTGAAGATGCTCTTGTGTCGAAAAGGCCAGAAGCAGTGTTAGTTCGAGCCTCATTGCTTCTGAGGAAGGGAAAGAAATGGAGCTGGCATGCAGGCCATTGGCGCACATGAAGAAGTTGGCTCAGACCTGATTCCTGAGGAGATGAGAGGAGCTCTTTGCTGGCTGTGGTGGAAATGAAGATGACAAACCGCCCAGGATGCAATGGCACGTGCCAACCTGCACCTCCCACCAAGACAGCCAAGTTCTGCGAGCCAAAAGGAGATAGATTGTGCCCTTTCGAGGTCACCTTCCGCGAAGTCAAATGGCGGGTCGTGGTGCAATGCCATGGGCAGCGGGCTATTACGGCCACGCTCCGCTTCCATGCGACGCGCAAGCTTGTTTTGCACTCGATCCTCCAGTTGGCGTTTGGTACACTTCTCGTTTTGTGCTCATGTGCCTGAGTGGCTTGTTCATGTGACGTGTCCTCAATTTCGAGCAGTTTTCTTTTCATGCACAGTGCGCATCATTTCAAATTTTTGAGTGGCCTCTCAGGCTTGACCGTTGTTTTCCTGCACAGCCCACTCGGCAACCTGCCTTTTTTTGTGATCCTGTCCACTGTTTTTTTCAATTTTTTCTTTCTTATTTTGCATTTTTCTGTCACCACACCAGCACACCACCACCCGAGTCAGTCGATGCACTGTGCAGACTTGAGCGCACGCCGTCATTTTGTCGCGGTTCCGCTTTTCGAGTAGTTCCATGTTCATTTCCCAAGTGTGTGTTTCTTTTTTGGAAATTTATTGAATTTTTATTTGTTGTTGCCACGAACACATCTTTGGGGCTTAGAAACTACTGCAGCTCAAACAATACCCAGCCCCGTTGGAATGGGACATTTTTTGCAAAAAAAAGGTTGAACAAGAGACAAACAAGCTGTCAAGACGGTGTTTCTTTTTGTGTTGATAAAGCAAGTCAGGAGGAATTTAATTGATTTGCAAAACAACACCAGCAAACATGCGTAGACATTGTTGTATGGGGCGGCATGATTAGGACTGGACTACCCTTAGTTTGGAGACTCAATTCTGGGGGGGCTTCATTGATCACCCATCGACTTTTTCAAACTCAGTCCGATGGTCAGTTAGCCAGACAAACATCTCGCAAAAAATGATTGTAGCAAGCTTTGGTTGCATGATTGTAGATTGAGTGCGGAAGGCAAGCGGCTAGCAGTGTCTCAGAACGAACATCAGTTGCAGCGCATGAAGTTGCGCAGATCACAGGTGACAACTCAGCCCTTTGCCCAGTTGCACTCTGAACACTTGTAATCTAGACAAGTAGAGGCATTCGCATCCTGCACATCGCAAGGAACAGTGAAACTAATTTGACTCAAGCCCGGTTGGCTGCCACACGATGGAAGATCAATTCGAACCAACAGGCAAAGAACAAAAGGGCAATGTTGACTGAAATTGGTTTGCTCTTGTTTCACGATTCAGGAACCAAAAGTGCTTCAAAATTGAGGACAGTCTGGCAATTGCAACATGATCTATACAATCTAATCACCACTTCAGAAGGACATCAATCGACACGTAACAAGGAAATAAGT